CCTACCTTGATGGTGCCAGTAGAAGCAAGAATGATATTCTGGGCTGCCCCTCAGCCATCACACCACAGCTTCCCAGAAGGGCTGTCCACAGTCTTCGGTTGGCAATGATGGCATGCACTGTGGTCATGAGTCCCTCCGTGATGCCAGAGTTGTCATGGGTGACCTTAGCCAGAGGGGCCAGCAGTTGGTGGTGCAGGAGGCATTGCTGACAATCTTGAGGAGGTTGTCATACTTTTCATGGTTCATGCCCATCAGAAACATGAGGCATCAGCAGAAAGGGGCAGAGATGGTGACCCTTTTGGCCCCACCCTTCAAGTGAGCTCTGGCCTTCTCAGTGGTAGCAAAGAGCCCAGTGGACTGGACTCTACAGCATACTCATCACCAACATCACCCCATTTGATGTTGGAGGGATCTTGTTCTTAGAAGATGGAGATGTACTTCCCATTCACGACAAGTTTCTTATTCTGAGCCTTGAGTGTGCTGTTGAATTTGCTGTGGGTGGAATCCTACTGGAACATGGAGACCACGTAGTTGAGACCTATGAAGGTGTCACTGATGGCAACAGTATATCCACTTTGCCAGCGTTGAAAGCAGCCCTGGTGACCAGGCGCCCAGTATGACCAATTTTGCCGTTTACTCTGACCTTCACCATTGTGTTTTGGGGATGTGGGTGGCACTACACCAGAATATTCTGATGACTGTTGAATGGGTTAGGAGCAGAGAGCTACTTTTGCTTATTTTAAAATTGGGGTTTTTGTTTCTTATTGTTGAATTTTGAGAGTTCCTTGTATATTTTAGGTACAAGTGCTTTGTCGTAGATGTGATTTCTGGGTATTTTTTCCCAGTCTGTGGCTTAACTTTTCTCAGGTTTGAAATTTTGATGACATTGAATTTAGCAGTCTTTTTCTTTTATAAAATGTTTATGGGACAGGATCTAAGAAATCTTTTCGAACACAAAGATTTCCACCTGCATTATCTTCTAAATATCATTCATTTTGATCAATTTTTTGTACAGTCATACCAGTTCTAAAGTACAAAGATCAAATAAAATGGATACATTGCCAGATACCAGTTTTCTCCATAGCATAAGTACCTTTTGAAAAGAAATTATATTCCCATTTCCTGTTAAAATATCACCTGTACTTTGAAGGGACAGATTTTTGTGGGTTTATTCTTTGGAAAATATTGCAGAGTAAGAATGCCATAGTATTGTCAGCTACTTTTTACAGCAAAGGTCAGGGAGTTTGGAATGTTCATCTTTTTACAGAAGAAAAATGTAAGACTTTTTTACATTTTTAAGTATTTTGATGTAAGTGAACCTCTTTGTGGTGTGCTATTCTATACAAAAAATTGCAGGGATCCTACTGTTTAAATATCCTGTTTTTTAAGATTTTATTTATTTATTTTAGAGAGAGAGAGAGATAATGAGCTGGGGGAAAAGGAAGAGGGAGAGGGAGAATCTTCAGACAGACTCCCTGATGAACACAGGGGTTAATAGGGGGCTCAATCTCAGGACTGGAGCCGAAACGCACAGCTGACTGAGCCACCCAGGAGCCCCAAGTATCCCGTTTTTGTCTGTTGGTTTTTTGTTTTTGTTTTTGTTTTTTTAAGATTAGTCTCATTACTGACATCCTTTTGCACAAAAAACAGCAGTATTCACAATATGCTGAAAGCAAAGACTGAAGGGTACCACTGTCACGCCGCACACACATACAGTGAGAGCCCCACACTTCCTTCTAGATACCTGTGCACACGTGGCAGTAGCCCAGGGAAAATCCCAGTGGCAAAGCTCTATGACTGTTTAGTGAAACATTTTTTTTTTTTAAAGATTTTATTTATTTATTTATTTATTTATTTGACAGAGAGAGGCACTGTGAGAAAAGGAGGAACACAAGCAGGGTGGGTGGGAGAGGGAGACACAGGCTTCCCACTGAGCAGGGAGCCCGATGCATTGGCTGGATCTCAAGACCCTGGGATCATGACCTGAGCCAAAGGCAGATACTTAAGGGCTGAGCCACCCGGGTGCCCCTGAAACTTTTTTTTTTTTTGAGATAAAAATATAAAAACATAAAAGTAGATTAAAATTTTAGGGTTTTTTTTCCCCCTACTCCGATTGTCTTATATACCTTCTGGGGATACCTCTACCCTGGGAAGTCTTAGAAGTGCTGCTTCTCTCCCTGCATTCCTGATGGTCTCTAGGTATAGTAGATGATCTGTGTTTGTTGGGGAAATAAATGCCTTGTCCTGTTACAAATAATAGAGGTGTGTTACTTTGTGTTGTTATCTTCCTGTCTGCTTTCTTCTAGAATTTATTTTCCCATACCCACATGCTTCCAAGCTCCAAACTTGAAGTTTATAACAAATGTTTCTTAGAAGATGGTGCTCCCAATTATCCATAATGTAGAACCAGGAATCATAAGAGAATATAATTTTGGAGCTGTAAGGGGACTTGGGAGGTTGATGAGTCCAAAACACTTAATGAAAATCAAACCAAATAAAAAGGAACTACGGTAAAGGCATAGAATGGAATATGACTCTTAACAATAAAAAGGGAATTTTTTTTTAAGATTGTATTTATTTATTTGAAAAAGAGAGATGAGGGGGAGAGAGGGATAAGCACACTCCACACTGAGCATGGAGCCCGATGCAGGGCTCGATCTCACGACCGAAGATCATGACCTGAGTTGAAACCAAGAGGCAGAAGCTTAAGTGAGGGCGCCACCCAGGTGCCCCAGGGAATGAGCTTTTGATCAAATGCAACAACATGGATGTATCTTGGAATAATTTTGCTGTGTGACAGAAGGCAGACAAAAAGCACTGCATACTGTATGATTTCGTTTATAAAAAAGTGGAAAATGCAAGCAACAGTGACGGCCGGGGCTGCCTGTGGATGAGTGGGAAAGGAGTGAGGAGGGGACGGAAGGCAATACGAAGAAGGACGAGAGGAAACTTGTGGGTGTGACAGTCTTGATCCTGGTGATGTTTTCACAGGTGGATACAAATAGTGCACTTTACACAGGTATGGTTTACAACGTCACTTACACATCAGTAAAGCCACTTACAGAAATAAAGGAAATCAGAGGCAATTCACCTGTGGAGTAAATATTTAGTAAATGCCTGCAGTATGCCAGATTCCTGTGCTCTGTGCTACGGGTTCAGAGAGAGTGAAGACTTGGCCTACACTTTCAGGAAGCGCACAATCTAGTGAGGAAGTTAGAAAATAAACATATAAATTAGATCCAGTATGTTAAGTGCTATGAAAGAGGAACAGACGGGTAACAGGAGGAGTCCCGAACATGGGTGCCAATGGGTGCCTCTTCCGGGGGAGGGCAGGGAAAGCCTTACGAAAGAGAGGAAGCTGAGCCAAAGCCAGCTTAGCATTGGTCAGGTGGAAGAGCGCCCCCCTTCTGAGGGAACATTGTGGCCAGATGGGTGAAATGCAAGTTCCAGGAACTGTGTGTGGTTCAGCCTGACTAGAGCAAAGGACACTCTAGCGAGAGAAGAGACTGCAGAGGTTGGTGGGGCCAGACGGTGAGGCTTTGCTTCCCTGCCAGTGCTCGGGTGTCTTGTTCTGCAGGGTTGAACTAACAGGTGGTCTCAATCCATAGTCTGTGTCACAGGGACACCGTCTCTTCCGAACACCTAGCATAGACCTCCAGGTTTTTATGCCTGCTTCATGCTAGCTTGGGAGTTCTTCTGTTCCCCAGGAATGTTTCAAAACCCAAAGGAAAGAGCTGGTTTAGGTCTGAGCGACAGCTGGGGGAACATCTGCTTGCTTTTTGGAGCTACACCTGGGAGCACAGCCTCTGGTGCATTTGCATGTCGGAGGCAACCAACAATCCAGCTGCCCCAAAGGCAGTTTTTCCACAGGCCAGAAATGTTGCCTTTGGTTCTGGCGGGTGGCACTGACCCCTAAAGTCCTGTATTTCTGACAGTGGCTGTCTGGTGTGCAGTGATCTGTGTCCTGTCTGGTTCTCTCCTACCCTCTGGTTCTCTGTTAACCAGTCACCACTGGATTTCTCCAGCCACGGAGTAATAGAGGTCATGGGAGAGTCCCTTACTTGTTTGTTTGTTTTTAGAGTGGTTTTCTGTGAAGACTAGGAGGTTGGATTCAGAGTACGATTGTCAGACCACATTAAAAATGCAGGCAGCGGTGCAGAACACGGATGGCTCGTGTCAGCCAGACATTTCAGTGTAACCAGAGGAGAGAAACATGGTGAGGGCCTGTGTTAATGGAAGTAGATGCCAGACTGCATGGTAAGGTCTGGCTCACGTTTCTCCCATTCCCTGCCACCCTTCAGCCGGAAGAGAGCAGCTCATATTTAAGTTAGAATTTAAAATGGGATTGCTGCTTAATGAGCATTCCTGTGATCTAGAGATCAAGTTGCTTACACCTCGAAGGGAGAGCTCCCATGCTCCCAGTTGGGAGGACTTTTACTCTTAGGGCAGTTAGGATTTCCAGCAGGTGAGAAGTACAGGTTTGGTGGTGTATTCCTTCTTGCCTTGGGGATTCTTTGCCATCTTCTCAGGGTTGGACCAAGAGGACAAGCAAAGTGCTTGCACTGATTTCCCTCACCAACGGGAGGAGACCTGTGGCCAGCACAGATCCCTGGGATCAAGAGGGTCCTGCAAAGGCCAATGTCAGTGATCTGGGTGGATTAATAAAACTGATGGTGTCAGGAGGGAAGAAGTGTCCAGTGGTAATTGTGGAGTTTGGTTTTTCTGTCTTCTCACCTGGGCTGGTGAAAACAGTCCAAGTGTGGGTTGGCCCAAGCTCTGTAGCTCTGTTTATTTCTCCTCTTGTCCTCCCCCATGCTAGTTGCCAGCTCGGCTATTAAATGGCTCAGAGCCTTTTTTTTTTTTTTCTTTTTTTTCTTTTTTTCTTTTTTTCTTCGCTGTGTCAATCCTGGAAGGTCATGACTGTTGTGATTTGGGGCTGGTTTCCCAAATGGGTGGGTGAAATGGATCTCTAACTATCGATTTGTTTTCTTGCATTTCAGTCGTTCCAAGGAAGTCAAGGACGAGCATACCTCTTTAACTCAGTGTGAGTGTCTCTGGTACATCCATGTTTTGGTGCAAACTTTGTCAGGTGGTGGGAGAAGGAGCGCTCGGTGATAATTAAACAATGGTCCCTGCCCCCCTCTGCCATGATAAAACATTACTATGAAACATTACTCTCCACAGTAGGTAGCCAGTTATCTTTGGGGAATTTTTTTTGGGGGGGCAGCATCTTTGGCTAAAAATAACACACTTACTACCCACAGTAGGCGCATCAGAGGGCTGTAGGCTCATAGGGAAGAAGTTGAAGTGCCTCCAAGAGCCTCATCATGGAGGCTTCAGAAGCAGGTCTAAGATGAGTCATCTGGGAAGAGAGGAGGTCGAACAGAAGACACGGAGATCCGCTGCGGGAGCTGGGACTGGAGGAAAAGGCCTGGGCAGTGAAGAGCCTCCCCACTGCAGTCTCGGCCTAGAGGGCTCTTGGTCGCTGCGCCGGCAGGTCATTTATAGCCTCTTACCTGGGAAAGGAAGGTGAAGCTCACACAAGTGTGAGTGGTGAACTGGGTTGGGTGAATGGCAGTCTCGCATGTTCAGCTGGAGATAATACAGGGCTCGTTCGTCCTTGCAGTCAGAGACAAGACCATGCAGATGTCACATTGGACATCTTCGGCTGTGTTCAGTCATCAGTGAGCTCTGAGCTGAGGACCCATGCTCCTGGCTTTGGTCTTCACAGTGGGGCCATCACTTAGTCCCCTTAGGTCACAAGGTTAGAAGGATTAGTTAGAAACATTCCAAGCAAAGTCTCAACCATAAAGACATTTTTTTTTTTTTTTTTTTTTTTTTTTTTGTGTAGACTCACTGAATCAGAACTTGCAGATCCCAAATGCATTTCAATGGAGATGTTTCCACGTGGCTACATTTTAGGGGCTGTTACCACGTTTGGTCATAAACAACGCCCTTCTCAGCGTTGGCTTCCCTTGAGGCATCCGTGCTCAGTTATTTCCTCGCCGCAAGCTCAGCTTGAATGACCAAGGCTTAGTGTGTGACTAACTACATATTCTTTCTCTCTCTCCGTCCCTTGGCACAGAGTTAATGTGGGCTGCGGGCCCGCAGAAGAGCGAGTGTTGCTAACAGGACTCCACGCAGTCGCAGACATTTACTGTGAAAACTGCAAAACCACTCTGGGCTGGAAATATGTGAGTACTGAGGAGTCTGGTCGGGTGGTGAGAGGGCTGTGAAGGGAGTAGCTGAGAACCTCGTGCTGGAAGATTGCTTTCTTCTCCTGGCTTCTTGTGGCCTTGTGGGGTTATCTTAGTCCAGGAACAGGCAGCTGAACCCAAAGAGCAGCTCCTGGCACCCTCCTGTCTGTCATATGCATTCTTCCCTTTCCTCTGACAGTCCTGTTCTCTTATTCATTCCTTCGCACCTGCCCCTGAGATGGACAGATAGACACACACATCTCCTTTACAATTTAATTAATAATAATAATAACAACAGCACATAACATTTCCCTTACTGTGGGAACTTACCGTGTTCCAGGCCTGTATTATTTTATGTACTCTTCACAGCATTCTTAGAAGGTAGGTCATATTTTAATCCCTATTTTATGGATGAGGAAACGAAGGCATAGGGAGGTGAATAGTCTATCCGATGTTCTCTAGCCATTACATGGCCAAACTGGGATATAGGTATCTGGGAGTGTCACTACAGAGCCCATCCAGTAAATGTCCCCCAAACATCGCTCAGGTCCTAGGCCCTGTGCTAGCATCATCAAACATATTAATTAATGTCCACTGTTAGATATAGTCATGGCTGGGATCTCCCTACTGGACATTTGCTCCTTCACTGTTTAACTCAACAAGTGTTATTAATGTCTTCATGACACCTAGAGTGAGCAGTCCTTCGTCAGGGTGAGAGGAGGTATGGGTGATCGGTGAACATAAACTTCTGTAGTCACTGCTGGTAGATACATTAATTACTGGAGATATCCTCACGTGCTTTCTTCTGCCCAGTCATGGTAGGATATTGAGTCTTCCCATCTCTGGGAGGACAGTTTAATCCATGTAAATGCTGTAAATTCCCTGTCCCATCAGTTGCCCAGGGCCAGTGTGGGGCTGGCTCAGATGATCTGTGGTTAGGTAGCTTTTAGTTAGCTTGGAAAGAGCCTGGAGGAGTTGTCAGAACTGCCCACAGAGTGATAATGATGTGTCAGTGTAGGTTTGTTGATTATGACAAAGACATAATCGCGGGACTCCGGGAATGGGGGAGGCCGCCCATTATGTGGTAGCAGGGAGTGCAGGGGAAACCTCCTTGCCTTCTGCTCCCTCTTGCTGTGAACCTAAAACTGCTCTAAAAATATGAAGAAGTCTATTTAAATAAAAGAGATGTTGAGCAAAAGAAGCCCGACATACGAGTATGATTCCAGGGGCGCCTGGGTGGCTCGGTCGTTAAGCGTCTGCCTTCGGCTCAGGTGACGATCCAAGGGTCCTGGGATCCAGTCCTTCCTCAGCAGGAAAACTGCTTCTCCCTGTCACATTCCCCCTGCTTGTGCTCTCTCTCTCCCGGTCCATCTCTGTCAAAAACAAAAACATAATTCCATTTAACCAAAGTTTAAAAATGTGCAGATCTTCACTACCACAGGGAGAGTCCTCCATGGAGCAGCACTGCCTTTACATCCTGTCTTTCACGTCTCTCTTGAAATGTTCAGAATTAGAAAGAAACCCTGGATGGCATGTTTCGCAATGCCAAGATGGTCACAGATCCCTAAGGTTGCCCTGATTGCTTCTTGTGGGAAACCTGGCCTTGGCTCTTCTCCCCTGGATGGCTGGTGGCCCCCTCTGGGTGATCTGGGGGCCACGGTTCTGGTTGTGATTATTGAGAAATGTTCTGCCCTTCTGTTTCTCCAACCTCTTGGTCATCTTAGTCCATTGAAGATGTACAGGATTACAGACAGAAGATAAATCTGAGTTAGTTGGTTTTGCTCCTTCAGGTAAAATGATTCAGTCCTTTGACAAAGGTTTATTAAAAGACTTCGTGTTGGATACAAAAGTAAATGCGATCTAACACCTGCCCTTGAAGTTGTTTATAGCCATGATATCAAGGAGGAAAACTAGAGGTAAACAGATAAAACAGCTTGGCAAGCATAGTGATACGCACGGGACAGTGGGAAAACCTCCTTCTCCCCAAATATTTATTGATTACCTCTCATGTCCCAGGCCCATGCTCCAGTCTTTCATTCCATTATTTCTTCTGACCCTCACAGAAATCCTGTGAAGTGAGAGCACCGAATCCTAACCACTAGACCACCAGGGAGTGTCCTGTGAAGTACTTTTAATAGTTCTCCCAGTTTTGTAAACGAAAAGTTTGCATTGGTAAACTTAAGTGGTTAAGTGATGCTTCTGGGGCCAGGGTTCAGTCTGGGATGTTCTGCAGACTCCACATCTAGTGTTCTGTCCAGGTAGGACATTTTGCAAGTGTCCTGTGGCTTGGGGGCTGTTGAATTTTTTTCCTTTTGGCTTTTTTGTTGTTGTCTTGTTTAATAGGGATATATTCTTACTTTCCTAGTTTTCTTTTTACCTCCCCCCTATCCTGAACACACTACCATGGAACAATAGGTCTTATTCTTGAACCACATTCCTTTGTTGTGTACACACATACACAGAGACACACACGGAACTGAGGAATAATGAAGTGTCAGGGAAATGACTGCTGAGTCCACATCTCTTGTGTGTGTGTGATGTGTTTGCACATTTTCTCTCAGCGCCCCTCCCCTCTCCACTTTGTGGAATGATTCCTCTCTCAACGAGAGGCTCAAGTGTGAGGCCTTGTTCAGAGTCCCAGATCCCCAGAGCTCTAGGAAGTGAAGATGCATTTCATACGAATGTTGCCCAGAACTTACAGGAGGCAGGAGGGTTGGATCCCTTTCTGAGCTGGAAGGCTAGGAAACAAAGCTGATGTCCACTGCTTCTGCACGTCGAGCTCAGCCATCTAATGACTGTGATGACCAGTGCTTTTCATACGATATACCAACATGTTTTTATACATCTACGCCTGGGAATAAAATACCCTTTGAGCCTCTACCTGTGCAGGGCTTTTTTTGTTGTTGTTTAATATCCCCCTGTGTGGCTTACTAGCCTGCAAGCCCACCCACAGTGTTGTAAATTCAGGATGGTTATCTGCCAGGTGGTTTCTGTTGCATTTTTCTCTCTGGAGGCCTGGAAGCTGGTGGGGCTTGAGGGCTGCCAGGTTCTTCAGGCTGGAGTCTGTGGAGCTCCTTACTCCCTGGAGAAAGGCAGTGAAGGAAAAACAGACTTAACACACTTGACATAGAAACAGCAAGATAAACAAGAGAAAGACCTATTTGGCTCCCCAATACTTAGTACTCTCCCTGAGTGTCTTTTCTCTAAGTGGAACAAAGTGCAGTTGAGGGTTCTGCCATAGAAACTTGATGGATACATCCATAGAGCGCATTCCTGGTCAGCATCCCAAACCAAGTTCCCTCAGATTTTGCGCGCGCGCGCGCACACACACACACACACACACACACACACAGCAGTTTCTTATTGAAGACCTATTATCTGGCAAGCAGTCTTCTAGGCACAAGGGATACAGCAATGAACAACGTAAATGAAGACCTCTGCCTGCCATGAAATTTGTGTCACTGTGGTGAGAGACAGTAGCTATAGTAGATGATGTGCAGGTTGTACTGTGGGTTTGAAAATGATGTGTCGTGAAGAAGGATGAAGCAGGAAAGGGAGGGGGAGAGAGAATTCAGGGGTAGAAGTTGTGCTTTTAAAGTAGAATAGGTGGGGAAGACCTTACCAAGGTGGTGACATTTGGGCAAAGCCTTAAATGATGAGAGATCCTGAAGAAATTCTATGGTAAATATTGAGAAAAATGTTTCAGATACTTAAATTGCAAAATATTGAAACTTGGTTGTAAATATTGAGAGAGTCCCAGTGCTGCTTCAGAGCTGGAGCTCAGTGGCATGTTCGAGTGGCAAGAATGCTTTCATTCCGGGTGAGGCTGGTCCTGATCGCACCCGTGCTACAAGTCACCTGCTTGTCTTTGGTCATTCGGTGTCTTTTCCTTTGTGTTTCCTAGGAACATGCCTTTGAAAGCAGCCAGAAGTATAAAGAAGGCAAATACATCATTGAGCTAGCACACATGATCAAGGACAATGGCTGGGACTGATCCGAGGGTATCCACCTAACCCAGTGTCCACGTGAACGCCATCCAACCGAACATTCTACCCAAGCGTGAGAGAGTGACTGAACACTTGGTTCCATCCATTTAGGGGCCTTGCCATCTGGGGGATTCTCCCACCCTGACACCGTCTTTCTGGTGACCGGCCTCTAAAACTTTGTCTCTCTGTCTCTTTGCTTTGTATCTGTTTGTGAGTTGATCCTGGCTTCTCTCTCTGTTCTAGTGTTGGCTGAAAACAAAACAACAAAAGGAACAGATACCTGACCGCGTGGCGGCAGCCCACCTTGATCAGGGCCCTAGGGCCCATAGAAGAGCTGCCTGATGGCCTCTTGTCGGGAGAGCAGTGGCACAGCACGGGGGTGTGAGGAAGAGGGGAAGGAGAGAGGCTTGAGGGTCCCAGGGGTGGGCAGGGGATGGGCCGTTAGAGGTAGGAACAAAATTGTGCTGCTCCCGGAGTCCTGGTAACTTAGGCTTGAAATAATCGACTTGTCTAAAAGGACAAAGAGAAAAAAAAAAATACCTCATGACTGCATTCTCTCTGATCAGAAGCTTCTGTTCCTGACACCGACAGCGCTGGGTTAGCACGTGAGCCCAGGAACTGGCCCTAACTCCAGGGGGTCAGGGGCCTGGTTCTCCTGGGTTGAGTTGGGGGTGTCATGGAAGCAAGGTGAAAAGCCCAGGTGGTTTTGATAACTCCGATGCCTCACTGCCCCTTCGGGTCATCTTTGCCTCTTCAGTCACCGTAGGTGAGAAGAGGGGAACTGCCATTTGCAATGGGTGCAAGATTGAAACATCCCGAAGGCTTTGGCCACCAACCAAGTAAAATCAGTAACTGAGGAGGACAGGGAACAAAGGGGGCGGTAATTTGGGAGCTCCTTCAGAAATGGCTCAGATACTGCGCCAGAAACAATAAAAAGTAGAACCAGTTAGCAATTCTGACTATTTAACCTTTTTTCTTGACCCTTAGTAAGAGAAGAGCCTTGTGGCAAGGAGGGGGGTGGGGTGGGGCAATGCTGGGAATAGTTTAGATTTGAACCATGACAGGTTAGTGCATCTTTCCCCGTTGGTATGCAGTGGCTTCGGTGAGATCAGCAATTCTTTGTACATAGAGTTTTGGGTGTTTTCTCCAGTTCTATCCCTGTAGACTTGTGGAAAACAAAGTCCCAAGGCTTTGAGCTGAGTGATAACCTGGCCAGGAGGTTCCTCATGCCCCTGGAGCTGTTCTCAGACTTGACTGCTTTGTGTGGAGAGAAATTGTCAGAATGGTCCATTAGTCGGAAGAGCCTGGGTGTGATAGCCAACATCAAGTTACAAATTCCAATATTAGCCTCTGCCTCCCATCTCGAAGCCCAAACCAAAGTTCTTTATATTAAGGAAATGGAGAACAAATCCTTACTAAGTCTCTCCTGAGAGAAAGGAGTTTTTTACAGTTAACCAACACTGTGCAGTGTATTCTACCAACAGCTAAGCCAGTAGTACACTGTGCACGACCGAAACTCATTTAACCGAGTTAATTTTATTGCTTAGACCGAAAATGTAATTAATGTTCAGATATGTGCAGATTATGTTAGGTAATTCTCAGCATTTCATTCTCTAAGTAGGCTGATCCTATAGGAACAGCCTATAGGATCACTTAAAAGTCACAGAAGAGTGAATTCGTAGAGACAAGAATCTGTAAAATTGATTCATCAGGATTCAAGCAGGCAGTGAGGGACATTTCCAGAATTCTGACAAATTCCCATAGGGAGTGAGTCCATGGTGGAAATGCCTTTTCATGTCTCTGTGGTCTGATTGCAGAAGGGGGACTGGAACTAGGAGCTAGGCGTGGTCCTGCCCTGGAGGGTGACTGACTCAGGATTGACAGGAAGCTGGGTGGCTCCAGGCTTAGCAGTAGAGGGCTTCTGTGACACAAAAGGATTTTTAGAAATTGAATCTTGTTCCCAGAGGCTTTTAACCCACATTTCTTCAGCAACCCTGGGAGATTAAGTGCTCCCCACATTACTAAAAGCAGACTGAGGTTCAGAAGAAGTATTTCATTTCCACTCCCAAAGAAAGAGTTCTTCTGGCTCCCAGGGCCAAGATCTCAATGAAAAAATTTTCGACTTTCACATTCCTAAGCTGGCTCGCCAGCACAAAAACTATAGATCCCCCCCCTTTCTGTCTGTGCTGAAGGTAGTGGCCTTCACTTAGAGATTTTGATTAGCCCCTTTGCTCAGGGAATGTCCTGGCTGTTGATACTCCTTTCCATAGAAAGAAAATGGGGGTTAAGCATGGGTAGAGGTTTTGTCTTTGATACTGAAAATGGAATGTGGTGACATGGAAACCAGACACGGGGTGTCCTAGAATTTTCAAGGGGCAGAGGAGACCGATGTGCCACTGTTCTTCCTTGGGGATGAGGCCTCTGACTGTTGCATGGATCAGAGCAGGCTCCAGTTAGACCCAGGTTCTGGTTTTGTTTTTGTTTTTGGTTTTGGTTTTCCAGTTCTTACCCATCGAGCATCCAGTGGGTGTGTGGCACCATACTTGGTGTGAAAGATCTGAGTAGAATGTTGGTTTTTCCATAACTACAGGGGGAAAAAAGCAACTCATTAGGCTTTCCCTTTGTGTCAATGAAACCAAAAGTGCTTCTTAAAACTTCAGCTCCACTCATGGTTTGTCTACCTAAAGTCAAGCAGTATTGGAGAGACCGCAGCTGAGTGATGGAGACACATCAACTCATGCCCTCAGTCAGTTCGTTCTTTAATTTCCTCACCAAATTATTGACTCAGAGCATAACCAAAGACCTCATCCATTCACCCCTGGCAGGTTCAGGGAATTGGAGTTTGACGGTAAAGCCTCGGCAGGGTGCAGGGAGTAGGGCAGGGGAAAGGGCGAAGTGAGAAAGGGAAAGGCATGACGTTCTATACCTCAGCCAGCAGCTGCCTTCTTTGCAACTGAAGTCCAGCTGGCCGACCCTCTAGGTCCATCTCCCCTGTGCTGTCCTAGGTCGTGTGGCCTCGGTGGCCCTGGATACACCGAGACCCCAGGATGTTAGTCTCAGGCTGTGATGGATTGATTTGACATGAATCAAATACAGCCAGACTTGATGGCCCCAGATTGTCAGCTGGGCCTGACTGAGTGCTGCCCCAACTCCGAGACAGCAAGTTCATGGAGATGGGATAAATCTTGGCAGGTGGGTCAGTGTGTGAAAAAGAGGTGTCCCCCTTAGAAAAAGATTTTCAAGTGGATATATATATGAAAAAAAAAGTTGCTTGTGAAATATACTTTTGTAAATAATATTTAATTTTTTAAATAATATATTTGGTGCTGTTTTCTCAGATCCCCTGAGAGCACTTTTTATTTTCATTTTTAAATTCTATGGTTTCCTCTGCATTTCTTGAAGTATATATTAAGGGAAACAAGTGATCACCAATATACTCTTTTAAAAAAAAGATCTGTATCACTTTTGTCTGGACAGAGGCAATAAAGCAATGCCTCTGTTCCACCACCCCCCGAACCACCCATGGAGCAGACTCTGCAGTTTCATTACCAGGTTGAGAATTGAAATAGTTTCTTGCACCAATATTGGCTAAGAAAAAAAATAAATAAAATCAGATATAGTTACAGCTTAGTGATTCCTCTTTTTGGAAGAATTTCCAACAAATCGGGATCTTGTTTTTAATGTGTGCGTGTGTGTGTGTGTGTGTGTGTGTGTGTGTGTGTAAAAAGCACTTTGGACTGTGCCTCCTGTTTTCTTTTTTATTGGGGACAGTATACCTACAGTTTACACCTTGGGCACATAAGGCTTTCTTCTCTTTCTTGCTGGTTGTTTTGTTTCTGAGTGGACCAACAGCACAAACCATGAGGATTTTGATTTTCTGAGCATGGAGCTATTGCCACTTTGCTCCTTTTTCTTTGTGTGCTCAACTTTCCCAGATGGTAAAGGAAATCTATTGTTTGTGAAGGTCAAACGGAATCAAATCTGTGTGTTTCTAACTGACATGTGCGTGTGTTCCTTACATACCCTAGGGTTCCGGTTGTTGTAGAAGCCATGTCTGGTTTGGGTTGAAAGAACATCGGTAAAATAATACACATACCTTGTAAGTAAACAGTTTATTTTATTTTAAGGCCATACTGCTTCAGGTTCAGGAAGAGGCTGGGAAATCAAATCTTGAACACAATCAACTTAACATATTTTAACAGAGTCTGTCTTGCATGAGGAAACATGCTAGTGGTCAAGGTAGAGGAGAGAGATGTTTCATTTTCCTAAGCAAAATACAGTCATGAAATCTGCCAGCAGTGAAAGGTAAAGCCAAGAAGAAACAAACTATTCCCATCACCCAATTCAATCTGCCTGTATGTTTTTATATAACATTTTGGTGAAAGTGAGAGTCGGTTCCCTTTTCAACCTGCAGAGACGATCTTTAAATACGGAATTTGTCTATTTATGCTTGTGTTTACAAACTGTATTTGTTGGGTTTGGGTTTTGTTATTTTCCCTATCTTCCCCCCCCCCCCGTGGCGTTTTTCAGGTCACTTTGCTTCAATAACAAAGAGAATTATTTTCAAATAATTTGTCTTCACCTTTTCCTGTATTTGTACATAGTGGTTCAGTATTAGAGAAAAGTGCATTGTTTCTGTCATATTTCCAATCTGTGTTGGTGCTCATTTGAGAAAATAAAGTTTTCAAATATTCTTTGGAGGGCTCTACTGTCGTAATTGACCCAAATTGACCCAGCATGTTTTATCATGACTTTTAACATTGAAAGTAACTGAAAAGCCTGTAGGAGGTGATCTGTCTAACCCCATTCACAGAGCTCTGACTGACAGACCCTGCGGGGTTGTTTACTGCAAGGACAGTTGGCCGATTAATGAATAAAAATCAGGTCTCCTGCTTATCTGCAAATGCTTCTCTTATCTTCAGATATCAGAAATGCCTGAATGACCTTTAGGATTTCTGTCTACTAAGCCCCGTATTCTCAAACTCTGCAAACTTTTCTGTTTATACCAATTTCTTTGGGGGAAATGGGATTGCATTAAGTGAAGAGATAAAAGAATTGTAAAACCACAAAATGAGGCGACAAAGAGGCAGCACTATCTCTGAATAATGGGCTGACAATGGGAAAGAAGTAGGCACAGTTATAGAATATGGAAAATCAAGTCTTCTCACTGAGCAGATATTTATTAAACATCTATTAGGTTCTATAGGCACTGGGTGAGGCAGTTGGACCATTCTAGTAAATCGTCTGTTTTTCTTTTCAAATCCAGTATCTTCCATATGCATAGCCTTGCATAGCCAGGCAGCGTCCTCAGTTGTGTATTGTGCCTTCATTTAACAGACTAAATATTTTTGCCTAGACTTCAGCTTTTTCGAAAGCTAGTCTCCACAGCTTACATACAGTGTTCTCACCTTATATAGGCAATTTAAATAGTGAAGAAAGAGGATATTACAACCGCCCAAATGTGTGTGTATTTGTGTGTTTTCACATTGGTGAGAGTATTTTAAAAGCCTGTTCTCTATAAAATAAGAAATACCTTG